TGTGCCGGATTCTAAACTAGGTGCTGAAAATCATCCAATGAGATACAGGCCTCTCTGAGTGTAATTACATCTTGTGGGGAAAATTGGCAATAACACATAATTTATTTATTTTTAATTTTTTTAATCACACATAATTTAAATTGTGCTGAATGTTTGAAAGAAAAGCAGAGATGCTATAGGAGTGGAGCCCAGGAACTCCTAAGTTAGTCCTGGGGTTGGAGGTACAGCAGAGAGATTCCTTGCAGAAGTGATATTTAAGCAGAGATTCACAGGGTGGATATTAATTATCTAAAGGAAGAACTGGAGGGAGGGAAATTCTAGGCAGAAGAAAACATAGCATGTGCAGAGAACTCTAGGCAGGAAAGAACCCAGTGTGTTACAGGAACTAAGAGGAGTCTCATGGCTAGAGGAGAGAGGGTAAGGGGCACACGAGTTGAGGCTGGAGAGGTGGAAGGGGCTAGGCCTATAAGCCTTCTTAAAGGCATCAGACTTGATCTCAAGAGCAATGGATGCCTTTGATGGGTTGTAAGCAGGGGAGGGGCATGGCCAGATATGTATATTTTTGAAGATCACTATATAATACAAGGTAGAACATGAGCAATGTCTGACATAGGCTTCAAAATGCCATGGTGGTTCCAAGCATGGAGAAATCCCATTGTCTGAGTTATCAGGAAGGCCTTCATGGAGGAAGTACCACGTTACGGTAGAATAATTCAGACACGGGAAGACAGTGTGTGTGTGTGTGTGTGTGTGTGTGTGTGTGTGTGTGTGGTGTGTGTTTACTGGGAGGCAGAGAAGGAAGTGTCTAGGTGTAGGGAGTAGACTGCACTCCCTACAAAGCTAGATATGTATGGGGCAGGTCTGGGGAATGCGGAACTGTCCTCCAGTCTGGCTGGAGGATAATGGCAAATAAAGCTGGAAGGTTAGGTTGTGGACATGAAGGGCCCAGAAGGTATACATGAATACATATATGTACAGCCCATTCTCATCACGTGCTGATCTGTGTTGGCAAAGTCGCTTACTTGCTAACACTTTCTTGTAACCCCAACATCAATTCCTGTAGCATTTTTGTAGTCTTTTGTGGACATGTGCAGAGTGGTGAAAATTTTGAGTCACCTGGTGTGCGTGTTTGCCGCTGAGGTTGAGAAAGGACACCCTCTGCCTTCCTGTTTCAGCTCTCATGCTCTAAACAATTGTCCTTTTTGTGGTCTATTTAGTGGTGCTTTTTTACATTTTTGTGCTTTTTTAGGTGATTTCACTGTTTAAAATAGCCCCAGAGCATAGTGTTGCAGTGCTACCTACCTAGTGTTCTAAGCGCAAGAAGGCTGTGATGTGCCTTATATAGAAAATACATGTGTTAAATAACCCCCGTTCAGGTGTGAATTATAGTGATGTTGGCCAATTAGTTCAATGTTAATGAATCAACAATGTACATGATGGGGATTAAGGAGCGCACTTGTTGTGATGAGCACTGGGTGATGGATCACTATATTGTACACTTGAAACTAGTATTACACTGTACGTTAACTCACTGGAATTTAAGTAAAAACCTTAAAAAAATAAAAATATAATATATATATAGTTTTTAACCAAAAACATGAAACAAAGTTATATATTGATCAGTTGATGAAAATGGGCCCAGAGGCTTGTAGGAACCTAACCCTGTATTTTCCCCTGGGAGCAATGGTTCAGTATTAGCAATTTCAGTGTTTGTGGTCACTTTATAGGACTCCTGGGAATAATGAGAATTGACTGTATCTACGCACCTATTTTCCCCCCTGAAAGCTGGTTATTAAATATTATCAACACACCACTGACCGAGGCAGATCTTGCAGGAGCTCACCACACTGTGGAGGTGTTAGTGAATCACACTCTCACAGCTGGGCAGTGTTTTCTTGAAGCAGGATCTGAATGACACATCACCATGTTAGCAGCACTTTCTAAACTCTCAGTTAGAGGGGGTTCAGTCTTTGGAGTCACTAAGACCCAAGTTTGAATCCCACCTCCCCAGTTAACTAGTTGTGTGTCCTCAGGCAAGTAACACTGTTACCTTTGACGGGAGAATAATGGCCATTCGACAGTTTTATCATGAGTCCTGATGAGACGGTGTGTGTAAAGTGCGTGACTCAGCGCCTGGCACATGCATTCATGGTGAATACTTGTGAATCCAGAAAATGGGGGGAGCAAGGAGGCCTTCCGTTCTCTGCCTGCTACCCAGTCCTTTGATTACAGAGCTTCAGGATACAGCAGTGTTGTGCCCAGTCATTCTAAATCAGCTTTTCAGACTCACTCTGTCTCAAAGGCCCAGGCTGGGTCTTGCACTGGAGATTCCCAAACTGGAGATTCTAGAAGACCTGCTGCCTACAAGGGGCCCTCTCTTTTCAGGACCACACAAGGGGTCCACTTTCCAGTCTAATTCTTGTTGCTCCCTTGTTACGGAAAAATAATTTCCTAGCCAATATCTCTGTCTGTGGCTCCTGGTCTTTTTTTGGCGGGGGAGACTAAGGGGTGCATCTATTTGCTTAGCCCACTTTTCATCCTGTTTCTTGATACCCTAATCTGGGATTCAGAAGCCCTGGCTGTCCCAGTTCAGGCCTCGCTTCCTCTGACTCAGCTTTACCCTCAAGATACAGCCTCATTTCTGAGTCATCAGGCTGAGCTTTCGAGGACAACAGTCTGGCACTCCCGCTCCATCTTCCCAGGAGAGGTGCTATGTCTCCACACCCCAGTGCCAGTCCTATGCCTAACTTGGCTCACAATGCCCAGAAACCAAGAAACAGATTTTTAATGAGTTTGGAGGATGCAGAGGAAAAAGGCTCCAGGACCAGGAGTCAGAATGCTGGGTTCAGTTCTAGCTCTACCAATTAGCTTGTGCAACTTTGAGCTAGTTGTGGAAGCCTCCTGAACTGGGGCTTCCTCTTCCATAAAATGTAAGTAGTAATCCATGCTGGGTCCACCCACAGGGACATCGGGAGGCCTGAATGAAATAGTGTGAAGTGCCCCCAAACTCGAAGGTACATACCCCTGTTCCATGGGCTAGATCAGGTTCATAAACTCATTTCATTTGGCTTGAACAGCACTGACCTAGACTTCAAGTGATTAGCATTTTTAAAATGAGTTATCACCAAACTGGGAGACTTCACTTACATATCTGATGGACAGCTTCTCTTTAAAAATGAGATGATCTTGCCATATTAACTCCTTGCCCTTGTAAAAATAAAGAGAAACCTCACTAAAATGGATTCAGGATGCTAGAAGGGGAGGCTGCTAGGGGAAGCCCTACCACTCAGTGTCAATTATAGGAAAAACTGTCAACTACTGACCCCTAACAGAAGACTCTCAACAGGAAAAAAAAAGCATCAATTACAGGCCCCCAAAGGGAAAGATGTACATTGCATCTCCTACAAGAGATACACCGCCCCTGCAGCTCAGCCACTGAAAACCCGTTACACGCCGAACTCTTCCTTCTCTCTACTGCACTTTTGTTCAAAACGGCCCATCCCAACTCCCTTCTTCTCCGTGCAATAACGTTCCTCTCTTTTGTTTGCCGGATTTGCCTATGGTTTTGCTCTGGCTTGCTTGCCCTGGATTGAAATTCTCTGCTACTCCCAAATAAACCCATTTTTGCTGTTATAGTGACCGGCAGTTTTATTTCTAAGGTTAATGCCCTGACCGGCAACAACCCACTAGAGCTGAACAGCAGCAGCCCCTTCACTTGGGCAGGAGCCTGGAGCTGCCTTCAAGCTCGCCACAGTCCCCACTACTCCCTGTTACCTCCCAGTACTTAGGCCAAGCCTCTGTTGCCATTTCTTGTTGCTCTAGGGCTGTTAATTTGCTTCTAGTGGAGCCCTGGTAGATGGAAATCTTTCTAACAATCATGTTTCTATCAAAATGGGAAAATGAAAGTCCCAGAACTGTCCCTTGCCCCAGATTATCTCCCCCTTCAGGGTCTCGATGTCAAAAAACGCAAGCCCTGCAGTTAAGTTTTCCCCTGTGCCAAATGGCCCTTTGAAAGGTGTGTAAGGTGAGTGAGAGCTGTGATCTGGAGACCCGCAGGCTCTACCCCAACCCTGCCCACGCCTGTTTGAACTCATCTGTAAAATGGAGTAGGATCAGCCCTTTTACCCTAGGTTGACTGTGTACAACATATGGCATTTAGTGTGCTGGTCACTCCAGGTTGGCGACTGAAATGGAAACGGTTTGAACTGATAAAAAGCATTGTGGGTGGTGGGAGTGTGAAGTGAAAGTCCGGATTCCTGAGTGGGGCTAAAGCAATGGCTGGGGAGGAAACAAGCAAAGGGAAAAAGTACTGACTTAGAGGAGATACGAGTTCGGTTACACCCATTCCCACCCTCACTCTCCCACCTCTGCAATGAGAAAATCCCGCCAGGATGTACAAGACCTCACTGTACCCAGGGTTCTGTTACCAAGACTGGGTTCTGGTGGTGGCTTGAGCAAGCATTACCTTGTGTGACTTTGTCTCCCCCTCTATAAGATGAGGCTAGAAATGGCCCAACAGTTACTGTGGTCGTGAAGATGAAGTGAGAAATGTACGTGAAAGCACTTTGGAAATCTGCAAAGCACTATATGCAGTTAGGAGTTTTCCAGCCTCTTTACAAAAGTTTTTCTTCCAAACTCTGTCCAAGGGCTTTAAAGCTTATCAAGGCTAAGACCCTCCCCTCAGTTTCGCAATGCTGCCCCTTCCTACACACCAAAGCCCGCGCCGCGTCAGGAGTCTTTTTTTTTTTTTTTTTTTTTTCCTCCCCTAGCGAAGGCGGGGACTTGGGTGGTGTTGGTAGCCGGCGACGCCGGCCGCGCCTGGCCAGTCCCGCAACGGCCGCGGTGGGTGTGCCCCACAGGGTGTGCGCCCCGGGCCCAGGCCCAGCTCGCCGGCGAGAGGGCGCCCGAGGGTGTGCGCGCCGCGGGCGACCGGAGTGCGCCAGCCCGGGGGTGCGCGCCCCGGACGGGGACAGTGCACCCGGAGGTTGCGTGCGCCCCGAAGCCGGGGTGTGCGCCGGCCCCAGGCACGGCCCGCCGCTTCCCTCCCGACTTCTGCGGCGCGCCAAGGTAAGGCGCTCTGCGACACCAGCCCGCGCGGCGCGGTGAGTGGGGCGTACCAGCACCCTGCCCCGCGCGACCCGGGTCTTGGCCCCGGCGCCCGGCCACTCTTCTCCGCCTCCGCCGCCCGCCTCGCCCCCTCCCCGCGCCGCGTCCCCGGCTCCCCTTAAGACAGAGGCTGCGGCAGCCTGGGCCGCCCCGGCGCCCCTGTCTGGGGTTGGCGACAGCGCGGGGAGGGGGCTGCCGGGGCTGCGCGGGCTGCGCGGGCTACCCAGGGGCGGGCGCCGCTACCATTCCGCCCCGACCCGCTCCCCGAGCCCCTGTGCTGGGGAGGGAAGAGACCAGTGGGGAGGGGGAGGCCGCGGTGTCCTTGCGGCTCCGGTGGTGCAGCCCCCGCCCAGTGCTTCCCAGCGGGGCGCTGCGCTGCGGTCCGGGATGCAGATTGCGGGACTGGGCGCCCTGCGCCGGCTCCCAGGACGACCCGGAATCAAGCTCTTAGTCTCCTGTCTTTCGCAAAAGCCGGCCCCCCGTGTCTACCCTGGTATCCCTCGGCTCCTAGCTGAACTTTCCAGGGCTCGCGTTGGGCCACGACCTTGGATGGGGGCAGCGGGGCCGCCCTGGGGAGCCGCGTGCGCTGGCAGCCTAGGGCACTTCCGTTGAGCCTGCCACTTGGTGAGATTCCCACCTTCTCATCTCTCCCTTAAGGTCAGACCTTTGACCCCAAGTACTTTGTCCCTGCAGAGTGGCCAGTTACTTAGCCTGGGAGTTGAAAAGTAGAGTCTCGTCGCCCCTACACCAGGTCTAAATAAGCCCTTGCCCTGAGCCTCTGCCAAGGCTGCAACAATGGGCGGTTTCAGTTCTCAAGAGACCTAGGGTACAGGCCTGGGGGCCAGGAAGAAGCATTTTCCAGGAGACGGAGGAGGAGATTCCCCCCTTCCTGAGGATGACCCCCTGAAGCTTGGGCAAAGTATTGAACAAGTAGCATCAGGGGAGGGGCAGATGCAGACAATGACCAGGTTGAGGCCTGGGGACAAAGCATCTTGAATTAAACACACAGCCCGCCTGGGTAAAACCAAATGTGGGTTCTTAGGAACCTTTCAAGACATGACACAGAAGAACACAGAGCTACACTTGGAATAGCAGCAGAGTGCACTCTGATATGCCTTTTCAATTCCAGTCCTCCTGCCCCATGTCTGAAACTCTGCCTGCTGGACCACAATGTGAGTTCTGGGGAACGTCAAAGGACAGAGAATGAGGGATGGCTGAGGGTGCATTCGGTCAACAAATACTTGCTTGTCTGCAGGCACCAGGCAAGGTAGCGGGATAGAGAAATGAAGAAAACACGCACTATCTGGCCTCATGGAGTGTGCAGTCCAGTGGCCAAGACCTACATGGATCAAATCATGCAAATACAGAATTACAAGCGGTGCTGACTTCTTTTGAAAGGGAGGGATAAGGTACTGTGAAATTCTGTGATAGGCACCGTAGTCGCTCCGTTGGAAGGCTGGTAGGAGTTAAGCAGTTGAAGAGGATTGAACGAGCCTTCTAGTCAGAAGGAACAGCACGGGAAAGGACTCCGAGGCAAGCAGCAGAGACCATTAGAGGGACTGAAAAACTGCATCAAGTGATGACCAGGGGCCCAAATGGCATGCCACTGCCTGGGCCAATCAGTAGATCCGTAGTTTCCTTTCTCAGCCATGATAATGGGCAGTTGGAGTCCCCCCCCCCACCTTGGTGGAGTGGCTTATCTTAAGACTTTTAAAGCTAGAATGAACTCATTGCCTATAATGTAAAATTCTTTAGGATGGCTTACATGGCATTTGCTAATCTGAGTCCCACTGTCTTTCCAGCCCCGTTTCTGGTTCTCCCACTCCCCCATCTCCTGACCACCATACCCCGCTCCGTGAGCACCCCTCTATGTTTTACTCATGGCTACACTTCAGGCAGTTCCTGGAACACACGTTGTTTTTGCACATGCTATCCTTTGTCTAAAATATTCTCCCTACTTGTGCACCCAGTGAATGCACACCCAGCTTTCAACGTCAACATGACACTTAAGGTTTCCTCCACCACCACCACCACCACCACCGCCGCCGCCGCCATCCTGTAAGGCCTTTCCTGACCAGAGTCCAATGCTGCCTTCTCTGTTTCCGAAGCTCCCTGGACATGTTTCTGTCCAGGGAACATGAACTGCACTGAGCATCACAAAAACATATTTCTTTTTCCTCCTGTTCTATTTGTGTCTCAAGTACCCAGCACAGAGAAGGGGACACTGAAGGTGCTCAATAAATGCTTATTGGATGAAAACGGTCCAGGCTGGTATTTCTTAACTTTTTTGGGGGGAGGGAGGGAGTGTTACATCTATCCTGGAGATTCTGATAAAATTGTGGACACCATACTTTCCTCCAAGTGCATATAATCTCCTGTCACCCACTGACCCCATTTTCAGAACTTTGGACTTTAAGTTTACAGGAAGCAGAGGCCCAGTGAGGTGCAGTAACTCCAGCTGGTTAACAGCATGCTGCACCCCCCCGCAACCTCCACCACCTCCCAACCCCCAGCTCCTGACTCCGGGGCTCCTTCCAGCTCTCTCTGCATCTCCAAGCCAAGTAGCCTCCTTTCATCCCTGGCACCTTGTGAAGGCCACTGCTTATGGCTGGAAGATGGATATTTTGGTTTTGCTTCAGTTCAGTAGCAGCCTAAGGTGTGACAGGGAGAAAAATCTTACTATGGGCAGAGTTGACAATTAGGAAGACAGATGGGCCATCTCCCTGACCTGTTTGCGTCAATGTTATTACATCTGTTTTAGTTGGAGGATGGTCACGTGCGCTTCACAGTCATCTTCTGGGCCCTGGATTGAGTTGTGTCGGCCAGGTTTGGCAACACTCTGGATCCAGGGCCCAGCTCTTGGTCTTGTCAAAGGCTTCTTCCCTATAGGGCAGGCTCTGGGGATGGATGAAGTGAATGGGGTTCTTGCTTCCCACCCTTGGAACTCTGGCCTGCCTGCCTCCTGCTTTCTGGATATCAGATGGTCAACCACTTTGTGCTATTCTGTAGTAGTTTGTGGGACGAGGCGTGGGCTTGGAGCCTAGGGCATACGGGGATTGGAGCCTAGATCTGCTGCCCACCGGCTGTGTGATTTACAGCTAGACCCCCAACCTCTCTGTGCCTCAGCATGCTAATTCCCCAGACCCAGAGTTTAGATGAAGATAGGCCTTCTGTGAATGGTTTCCAGTCTACATGGATAATATTTCAAAGTAGGATTAAAGGAAAGATAAGGGGCCCTCCTGCTAACAATAGGCCTGTCGCAGTTTCCTGGATAAAATAAATGCTGCCCCAAGATTTCAAGGAGATGGTTAATGTGATATGCAGGCAGTTATAGATTGGTGGTGTCTGAGAAGCTGGCTGAATGTTCCTTCTCCAAGGGAAAGAAGTGTATTTTCAAAAGGAATGTCTCACTGTCTCGTCTGGGCCCTGGGGCCTGGGCCCTGCCCTGCACGCAGCTTTCTGGGGACACAGGCTTTGTGGGAGAACACATGAATTCCCATCTCCCCTCCCCCCATTATTTTTCCCCCAAAGTGGGGAAATTGTTGGCTGGATTTATTTGTATTTTTAATGTCGCTGTGGCTCCCCGCCCCCTCTTTCTGCGGAAGCATCCTTTGTTGTCTCCTTTGGTATGTATTAATAGTTTGCTGACGTCAAGTGACAAGGGGGCACACAAATATGGCACTGGGGAGAACTGGCTCCACGCAAAGACGCAGCCTTTGGTGTCGATTCCCCTCCACGGCCTGGTTTTTGCGCAGAAGCCAGAGATGCCAGCTCTCAGTGAAATCGATTTTGATTTTCCTTAGCGGGATACCAGGCGGCAGGGCTGAGTGTTTCCTTGCCCATCTCACCATACCACTTCCTTCTGCCTGGCCTCCTACTCCTGGGGAAGGGCTTCAAAGACGAGGACTGTCAACTTGGGTGGTGGCCGAATACAACCTAGTGTGGTCAGGGCCTAGGCATTTATTTGGCATGATACTGAGTGTGTGGGGAGGAGGGACATTTTATCAGGAATGTTTGAGTTTTGTAAGAAATTGTTTTCATGTGTCATTTGTATGATTTAAATAAATAAATAATAAAGGCCATCACCCCTCTGCTCCTCAAAAAAAAAAAAAAGGGAGGAGGGCGAGGGAGGGGCCATGGCTTCACCACGTGCTAGCCCCATGAGCCTGAGCAAATGCCTGGGGTTTACTGAACTTCATTCAGCTTTCTCATCTGATAAACGCTACTCTTAGTGCTGACTTAAGGCTCTTCGGATGCCGAAAACAGAGACTCCCTAAAGCTGATTCCAATGAAGAGGGGGAGGAGCAGTGAAATGCAGCCGTGATATTTACCAACAGGCCTGAAAGGGTGGAGGCAGGCCTCGAGGCAGGGTGGAGAAGGTTCTGAGTTCCAGGCTATTCCACCAGCAGAGCCTGTGCCATGGGGTCAACTCTGCACCTGCCCGCGCCAGCCCTCGTCCTTCTATCACAGGAACCTCTCTCCTTTGTCACTCAGTACAAGTGCCAGAGAGGATCCTATTGTGTGAGCTCAGTTCTCTGGACGCTGAGGCTCTGTCTCCAGGCCATGTCATGGCTGGGCTCTGGCCAGCCCGGGCATGGGTTGCTGCTGGGGCAGACATCCTCCCTGGGCCAATCAGATGGGAGAGGGGAGCAGAGGAGGGTCATGTGTACAGAACGAGACCTTTTGTGGCAGGAAGGGCTGTGGGTGGAGATTCCTCGAGAAAGACATGAGCTGGAACTCTGGGATATGCCCAGTACAAATACTGACTTAACTGGAAGGACCTAACAGAGATTCTTAACTTGGAGTTAACCACCCCAAGGAGCTCACGTGTAGAATTCAGTTTGTGAATGTGGTTGGGAGAATAAAATAACATCTTTACTTAGCATTTTCTTTGAATTTTCTTTAGCATTTACTATGAATGTAGGCAACAAACCATAGTGTATTTGCAGTATCTGGGAGGT